GAGAAAGAGAGAGAGAGAGAGAGAGAGAGAGAAAGAAAAATAGGGACAGGGTCTTGCTATGTTGAACAGGTAGGTTGTGAACTCCTGGCCTCAAGCAGTCCTGCCTCAGCCTTCCAAAGTACAGGCGTGAGCCACTGTACCCGGCCCAGCTTTTCCTTTTAAGCTTTTTCATCGGTTTATTCCTTGCCCCACCTGTTATCCACTGCCTCAGGAAGCTGCAAAGTTAGTCAGTTGCCTGCAATTACACCCTGATGAAAAGACTTTTCACACCAGGCAAAGGCTGAACCAAGTCAATTACAGCCAACCTTGCAAGAGGAGCCTTATCAGGGAACCACCAGACACTGAGATAATGACAGTTCTTTGGGCATGAGACTTGAAAGGAGCTCCAGCCCATTCTGCTCCCTCTTGTGGCGCCAGGCTACTGTTTTTCATCGGGAGTGCAGGATGTGAATTTTCAAGGCCACCACGGAACTGCAGAGTGTGCATTCTTAACTAGGGCAAGTGAAAATGCCACTGTTTTTACCAAGATTCTACTGTTTTTCTTGAATAAACATTCTCCCGACTGCCCTAAGCCTCTGGCTAATTTCCAGAGTTCTGAAAAAGTTGATTGTGACCATTTTTGCCAGTTTTCTCACTGCTATTATGGAGGAGAGAATTTTTGGAGGTCCTTACTTCATGGATTTTGCTGATGGCACACCTGGAAAACTGATTTTTTTTTTTTTCCTTGAGATGGAGTCTTGCTGTGTCACCCAGGCTGGAGTGCAGTGGCCCGATCTTGGCTCACTGCAAGCTCCGCCTCCTGGGTTAACGCCATTCTCCTGCCTCAGCCTCCCCAGTAGCTGGGACTACAGGTGCCCGCCACTGCGCCCGGCTAATTTCTTGTATTTTTAGTAGAGATGGGGTTTCACCGTGTTAGCTAGGGTGGTCTCCATCTCCTGACCTCGTGATCTGCCCGCCTCGGCCTCCCAAAGTGCTGGGATTACAGGCGTGAGCCACCGCGCCTGGCCCTCTGTATGTTCTTATACTTTTGCTTCTTCTTTGGGAGTGGGAGCCAGGATGCTGAGAAACTCCTCCTCCGAAACTCTGTTGTCAGCTGCTTCCTGAGGCCCGGATCTCCGTCTCAGACCTGCTGCCTCCTGCTCAAGGGAGCTTTCAGATTATGGAATAGACCTGGGCTCCCATAAACGTCCCTGCCAAATTATCTGGGTGCCAGAGCTCTAACAGACCAAAGCGGAGCCACTTTGCCATGATTAATTCAGGAGCCTTGCCTCACTCATTATTCATAACCTCTTTCCGTGGCTTTTCATGCCGGCTCATACCAGCCCAGACTCTGGCGCTCCACTGCTCCAAGGGCCCCTCTAGGGACCATGTAGGACCCAGTGGGACCTACCCTTGAGCACTGCTTTGCCAAAGCAGAGCAGGCTTATCTTTTATTTTTATTTATTTTTATGTTTTGTTTTGTTTTTGAGACAGTCTTGCTTTGTTGCACAGACTGGAGTGCAGTGATGTGATCTCAGCTCACTGCAAGCTCCGCCTCCTGGGTTAACGCCATTCTCCTGCCTCAGCCTCCCCAGTAGCTGGGACTACAGGTGCCCGCCACTGCGCCCGGCTAATTTCTTGTATTTTTAGTAGAGATGGGGTTTCACCGTGTTAGCTAGGGTGGTCTCCATCTCCTGACCTCGTGATCTGCCCGCCTCGGCCTCCCAAAGTGCTGGGATTACAGGCGTGAGCCACCGCGCCTGGCCCTCTGTATGTTCTTATACTTTTGCTTCTTCTTTGGGAGTGGGAGCCAGGATGCTGAGAAACTCCTCCTCCGAAACTCTGTTGTCAGCTGCTTCCTGAGGCCCGGATCTCCGTCTCAGACCTGCTGCCTCCTGCTCAAGGGAGCTTTCAGATTATGGAATAGACCTGGGCTCCCATAAACGTCCCTGCCAAATTATCTGGGTGCCAGAGCTCTAACAGACCAAAGCGGAGCCACT